ACAAGCCAATAAAATTCTTGCAAGGACAAAGATTTAAAAACGCAATCTTATAAAGCTGTGCTAGAACATTCTGTCTTTGGACTTTCATTTCTCAGGAAACCTGTCAGTGGCTGGAGAGATTTGAAAATATGCTTTGGTGTTGATACCAGGAACAGAAAAAGTGAAAACATAGCCACCATATGCTAATTAAGTAGGGAAGGTGAAGATTTTTTTGTGAGGAATGTTGTGTTTTGCGGAGGAAGTACATACACATATAAAAACAGAAAATTAAATTTTGGAGGTCAAGCCAGGCAGATGTGAAAGCAGACTACACACACCTGGGCAAAATTTGTTGGAAAGAAGACATTTAAGGAGGGACACCTGTTTTCCTTCAACTGTGGCCAGGCTCCAAGAAACAAACAAACACATGAATGTAACAGGAAGGAAGGAAGGAAAAACTGCTTTACTAGAAATCTGGTCCTAGGAACACAGTAAAAAAGGAGGGACGGTGATTTGTGCTTTTTGTCATCTTCAAGATTTAATTGGGGATAGAAACCAAATAAATAAATAAATATTTAGAAATTGTAATTTACTAGAGAAAATAATGGTGATTTAAAGAGAAAACTTGATAAAATACCATATGTAAGCATGTTACTTATTGACTCTCAACGTGATTCAGTTCCTACAATAGGTCAAGCATGGCTTGTATTCTGAGAAAAGGAAGAGAAATGGGAGTCACTTTGAATTAGGAATTAGCTCATTGGTGAGGCACGGTTTTTTTTCCTAGCCCATACTGTCGATTCCTAGCACTGAAAAAGAGTGAGATGAATCTCCTCAAATAATAGCCACATCATACAACTAGCAGTCGTGTCCACACTCTCATGGAAAAATATCTTCTCAGTTCAAAGTGGCAAAGCAGCTAAGCAAAATAAGAAAATAGCCCCTAAGTTTTCACTTAGTTTTCTAGTCTAGAACTTGTTTCTCTGCACTCTTTCTTACCAATAGGGCCTCAGAAAACAAACTGTGAAAAGATTTTGAGGAAATACAAAGGTCTACTACCAGCAGAGGAACAGAAAACAAGGCTTCATAATTGACAAAATTATCAGCTCTATTTATGGCAAATAAAAAAAAAACAATTCTTGAACTCAGACAGAATAAACTAACGAAATCTGCACTGAGATTTTCTTGAAGCACGAGAAGTATAGAGGGTAAAAAGAAAAAACATCAAAATGATGGAAGAACTCTTCGTGCCAAAGAAAGAGAGCAGAAATGAACATTAGGCAATGCTTGATGCAGACATGAACAGAGGACAGTCAGAGCCTCGAGGTATTGTATAGAGATATTGGTTCCAAGGAGAGACGCTTTTCTTCTTCTTCTTCTTCTTCTTCTTCTTCTTCTTCTTCTTCTTCTTCTTCTTCTTCTTCTTCTTCTTCTTCTTCTTCCTCTTCTTCTTCTTCTTCTTCCTCTTCTGGTTCCATGCCCAATCACACAGTAAAGAATAAAAATCAAAAGATGTGGGATCCAGGCCACAATCAGTGTAGTTTTCCTCGCATTGCTGGAGGGAATATATGCCTCAAATACCACTTTGTGATTGAGGAGACAGGATTAGTAAGTGGAAGGCAACCCTGATCATAGTATGGGAAGAGCTCATTGCCACATAGTCATTAGGGGATGCTTCTACTCCAGGACCTTGGGAAGAGAATGAAATGAAATCTGAATTTCATTTTACTTTGCTGAATTTTACTTCATTTCCAAGAATTATGGACTTTAGGATTTTCCTTTTGTATGTTCATATTTGAATATGGGCATTCAATTTTTGGATTATAATCTTTGTTTTGAGTACCATAATGGGAGGCAGCTTAAATTCAAATATTGATATGACCTGGTTAACCATATTTAAAGAAAGCCTTAAAAATATTTCAATAGTCATCACTTAAACTCATCTAGCGTTTTACCTACGCATGTTTAATTTTATCTTCTAAGCTGGTGTGTTACATTGGAGAGAGTGGCCTTGCATAATGTGTACTGGGAAATATTGAGCTCAGGGTTTAGCAAAGGGTTTAAGTTACTTCACTTAATGACTTGTTCTAAGTCAGTGCTTCTCTGAGTCTAATGTACACAGGAATTATCTAGGGATTGAGTTAAACTATAGAATAAGTAGCTTCTGACTGGGCTGGATGTTCTGCATTTCTAACAAGCTCCCTGGTGAGGCTGCTACTTAGAGTCTGCATTTGTGAGGTTCTCACCCATTTCCAAATTGTCAGAGCCAGCACATAACTTTCTGCCAATGAAACCAGGATGATTAACAAAACCAAAAAGTGTTAGCATCATTAGCAGAGAATCCTTAGGAGTCCAGAAAGAGGGACACTCCTCTTCCTGACCAAGGTACTCTTTTGATAGAGAGAGCTGCCATGACCAATGGCTGACTCAGGGAAAAATGAGAATATTTCGTTCTCATTTCCATGTGTATGGAACACATTCTCACCTCATTGCCAAAGAAATAAACGAGAAAAAAAAAATCACAGGCAGTTACACTCCACTACTTCCGTCTTTCCTGTTCCATTTGCTTGATGATCTCAGGGAACTCCACAAACTCCCCTGGTGCTATGTAGCCTACCTTCCTCATTTTATATAGAATCAGTGTTCTCTGGCCACAGAGGCCAACACTTGTTGGGGAAGTCCTGTGCATTTGTCAATAAAACACTGTCTGGCCAATAGGGAATCTAGATAGGAGGGACTAAGAGTCCAGGAGGATTCTGGGAAGGAGAAACACAAGAGAGTCCAGATGTAACGCCATGGGGTAGGAAGCCCGGAAATTTCTCCGGTAAGAGACATACTTAGATTAACAATTATGGGGTAATTACTTAAGTCAGAGCTAGCCAGTAAGAAACAAGCAAGGCCAACAGATTCATAATTAATATAGCCTCCTGTGAGTTTATTTGGGACTGATGCAGCTCTAGAACCAGGCTGGCGGGAAGGCTCCTCTCAAAGAAAAAGCTTCCCTTTACAAACACTGACTACTGCTTCGCTATAAGATGGGTTTGTCTAGCCTGGGGCAAACTTTTCAAATACAGGTTATGTCTCACACTTTAGAGTGTGTCTTTCTTTCTTTCTTTCTTTTAAGTAAAATCACTGTATTCTAACCAACTCAAATATGAAATTAGCTAAAGGAAGCCATCTAAACACTTGCCCACTCTCAAACTCTGTACATCTCAGTGAACTTGTATGTTATAAAATCTAAAAGTGACACCGATGTAGTGTGTTGACTATGGATTACATGCCCACAAAATAATTTCTCAGTCAAAAAGAAAATTTAGCTATTTTTTAAATTGAAACTCTGTTTTTTCTTTCTTCTATTTTGTGATTTAAAAAAGTGAATAAAACTATAAATGATGGAACAATTGACAGCTAATGACCGCTGTGAGGAGAGACAGTTGTCTTTAGTGATGTGGCCTGTGTTGACACCTTTTTTGCTATTTATTAAAACTTGCCTTAGAGTACAGAGAGGAAAGCTAGCCACAAGTTATAGAACTAGGCAGTGGTGGCACACACCTTTAATCCCGGGACTCAGAAGTCAAGAGGCAAATCTCTGTTAGTTCCAGGCTACATTGAACTACACAAAATTGGTCCAGGCCTAAAGAGAAACATCTTACACAAAGGTGATCTCAGCACTTGGGATCTCATGCCTTTAATCCCAGCACTAGGGAGGTATAAAGGGAAGCAGCAAAGGATTTCATGGGGAGATTTATTCTTCACCCCAGTTGAGGAGAGGCAGGAGTCTGAGGCTTGGTGGAGACAGGATCACCACTTTTAGTCTTAGGTAGAGGTAAGAGCTAGTGGTCAGTTGCTTTGTTTTTCTGACCAACAGGTTAAACCCCAATGTCAGTCTCTGAGTTTTTTATTATTCATGCAACAATGGCCTCTAAAAGGTTGCTCATATTCTGGTAAATGGTCCTATCCTAGCACTCATACTGGTTCAGTGAAAGAACTCAGTGGGTTTTAAGAAAGAGTACATAAAACTAGGATGGAAAAGCGCTGGTGGTTGGTCGGGAAAGAATCAGAGAGGAGGACGTGAGAAATGGGTTTGAACACACATTATATGCTTAATGGAATCTTCAGTCTGATGACATGATGATGATGAAGATGACTACTATGACGATGATGACAGACAACTCTGCTGGACAACAAGAACTATGATGACAAAGAATATGATGATGATGATGAAGAGGAGGAGGATGATGACCATGACAACTTGACTATAGATTAACAATGATAGTCTAAAACCCTAAATAACGTTCTAAGGCTTCAGAATGGTCACTCTAACTATATAGAAATTCAGTTGTTTGTGTTTCTACACCCATCCTTAATGGAATTTTAGTGGTTTAGATATTTCTTACTTTTTTGATCATTTTTCTGTTTCTAATTTCAATCCATACTCAGGACTGAAATATGAATATTGCTATTATTGACAAAAATAAAATCCACAATAAAGGTAAACATGGCATTTAACAAATGCTTGTTTACTTTTTTCCCAATTAAAGGATGGATGTTTTTCTCTCATAAGTCTTGTATTGATAAAATCTGTGGCCAGAATGTGAAGGAGGAATAAAAGCTACCTGCTTCTTGTTTTTTCTAATTTTCAAGAGCTTATAAACACAGAACTAAAATGACATGACACATCTCTTAACTTAATTTCATTTCCAATGCTTACCAAGTGTAAAAATTTAACTATACATAAATATGTCAATAGACATTGAGAACACAGATCATGGATTCTGTTTCCCTGGCAAGAATATAAGAAAGAAAACAAACTAACTAACCCATTAAAAGTCCTTCACCAAACTTGGTTTTCCCATTTGTACTATGAATTCCAAAGTACTCAAGATCCACTGGACATGAATCGAAAGAAAGTCATGAGGGGTACTTAGGAGGGGTATGGTTGAAGGGATAAAAGGGGAGGGAAAATTGTTGACTATATTATAATCTCAAAAATAAATTAATTAGGCGGGCTGCGTCGCGGGGCATGGCTGCATGGGGCCCGGCGTCCACTGTGCCTCTGCTCCTTGGGAGCCACGGGCTTCCTCTGCTGCAATGTGTACATCGGATGTTTGCCTCCCAGACTGAGGGGGAGCTCAGAGTGACGCAGGTTCTCAAAGAGAAGTTTCCGAGAGCCACAGCTATCAAAGTCACCGACATCTCAGGCACTGAAAGAGGAGATCAAGGGTATGCACGGCCTTCGGATATTTACCTCTGTCCCCAAGTCCTGACGGCATCCCGGCTATGTGACTGCTGATGCTCGAAACCTTGAGTGTACTTCACCACAGCAATCTTCAGAAAAATCCCTGCCAAAAAATATATCTATTTTGTTCATAGACATTTATGTATTATAATATAGGAGCTATGTTATCTACTTAGAGTTAATTAAATACCACAGATATCCACCGTTAAAAAATTAATTAATTAATTAAAAATGATAAATATTTATGCTCTGCAAAAAGAGGAAGAAATCAATTAATATGACAAGTTTAACATGAAGGCAAATGAAATGGGTAGCTCCTGGCTGTGGTTGTCAGCATGTTTCCCAGGATGTTACACAAGAACAGTTCAAACTCAGTATGTGCATTCCCAATACTCATACCAGCCCTTCACTGAAGAAAATACCTGAAATTCAAGACTGTTCAAATATCTGAGAAATGGAAGGGATATTTTCAATATTGGCCTTGTGATGACTAAACTAGAAATGGCATTAGACAAAACATAAATCAGAGGAAATTAATCCAGGTAATACATCTTCAGAATGACGATATTTGACAAACTCACAAAACAAGAAAATGAAACATACTCATGGAGAAGTTTAATTGCTAAGTGCTACACAGAAAAAAGAACCTTCACATTATTTTTAACTGATTATGTTCTATATATTTCAAACAAGCAAGAAGAAACCATCTTAAATACTTTCATCACAAGGAAGCAGTAAATGTTTGAGGAGATAGCTTAACGGAAAAATTGCCCAATGCAAATGCATATTCAAGCATCAAATAAAACTTAATACAACAGCTTGCACAAGCAAGCATAGCATATTTCATTTCTGTGGATAACATATGAATTGTTATATGGTAATCCATGATGAAAAAGATTAATCAGTAATGTCCAGAAAAATAAAACACAAACTGACTTCCGAAATCTCATCAGCAAGCCTATGTTAGATCACTATTTCAGTGACTTTTCTAATTGTTGTGCTGAAACTCCAGACAGAAGCGATTTTAAGACACGTGGGCTCATTTTTCAGGAGCACACTGCCCATCACGTTGGGGAAGGCAAGACAGCTTGATGAAATGGTGACATCCATGATCAGGAAGGAAGATGACTGCTAGTTCCCAGCAGGCATCCAGATTTCTCTTCTTTATTTATACTTTTTTGTTTTCATTTTGCCCAGCCACAAAAACAAGTCAATTGGAAGATATCCTAAGTTTCAGGGCTGCTCTTCCTTCCTCAGTCAAACCTCACTCTATATACTGCTCCACAAATGCCACATAGGATTCCAACAGCAGTGGAGCTTACAATAGATTAACCGGCACAGCAACAGCCAGGCAATATCTCCTAAACTGGAAACCTTATCAACAAATCACAGTACTGCTATTTGAACAAAGGTATTACAGAAGAGTAAAGGTAAAATGTTTACTTCTGGCACCCCCTTCCTTACGAAACTACACAAGTGTGTGCTTCACAAACGAATGAAGAATAAGTACATATAATACCTTGAGTTTTAATCATTCCTAATCCAAACATGGAAAGTGGTGAAATAAAGTTACCAGAAAATAATTACAGCAAACAAATGAAACAAAAATTCACTGGGAGAATTTTTATGAGCATGAAAGAAAAATGGTGTGCATGAGAATAGACAGGATGGTTGGAAATTTGACAAAATAATTTTTTCTGAAATAAATTCAAAAGGAAATTGTGTAACCATCTAATATATTTAATATGCATTTGAATACCTTGCATTTAACGCAGAATATGCTGTATTAGTAAATTTGTATAATAATATTGAGTAGAGTGCAGTGATATAGTGATCACAATAAGTCACACATTAAAATGGTACATGGCTTTGACTTATGAATGGCTTCCGGTTTGTTCCAAGTGGCCAGAAGGATGAATGACATGCCAAGACTAACTGTGAATGAACCATCTCATGGGAATGGTGTAGGAAGAGGTAAGAATGGAAATGGAGCCCGTTCTGGGGGGCTGTCAGAGGAGAAAGCAAGTCTAACTCTGAGTGAGTAGCTACAGCCTCAACTTGCACGGAAGTCAAAAGATCATTCCCCTAGTTGAGATAAAAAGAAGTGTGGCATAAACATTTACTTTATTTTGATCATTAGCGAAACAAAAGATTACATGTCATGCTATAACAACTACTAGGAAATGAAAAGGGTATGAAAGGACGAGATATACTAAATTAGCAAATATGTTATCCGTATTTATACACTAAAAGGAAAAAATAAGTTTTATAAGGATATCATCTTGTGTTATAGATGTATCTACTAGAACTAAATCAACTATTTGTAAGCTATTATTTTATGTATAGCTTGGGGTTTTCTTATATTATAATTACATAATTGACCTATACATGCTGATTTAAAAATCATTTTAATTTGGTAATAATGATAAGTATTCTCCAATACTCTTGAATAATTTTAATTAAGAATTTCTGTATTGATATTATAAATTCATATATATTTGCCATGAACCTTTGAATATGTTTAAACTTAAACATATCTCCTTTTACACTGACAGAAATTAATAGTGTAATAGAACATTCTGAATCGATTTCTTACCAATTTTAATTACCTATGTGTAATCAACTATTAGCAATATTATTATATTAGTTCCATAAATCTCTTAACTCTCAAATAGAAATGTGAGTTTTCTTCTGAATATATTCATCACATACATCTTCCAATCTCAATACTAGCCTACTGTAAAAATGCCTGCCTCCTACCTGTTGTCAGGCTTTTGTTATCTCCTTTTTCTAAAGGAACAATTCCATTATTATTTTACTTATAATCTATGTTTGGTTACTAGTATATTTGAATATGTATTAAAGTTTATTGACATTATTTTACTGCATATTTGTCAGGCTATCCGTCTCTACCAATTGTCCAATAGCAATAAACGTATCCTTCATATGTGGCCAGATCTAACAATGGCTGTCTTTTTACTGCATTTCTTTATTCTCACCCTTGAAAGATCGTCTCTCCTCAGTGCATCTGCATGCTTGATTGCCATGTGTCTTCTCGACTTATTTCCTCATTGGAAGCATATCTGGTCCTTGGCATGCTGTGCAGAGAAAGATGGTGTTAACACATCATTGCTCTGTATGCCCCAGTGTGTGTGGTCCTGCTAAAATATTTTCTCCTGCTTAGTGCCTTGGGCCTCTATGCTTCCTGGAATTTAGTTCAGGACAGTGTATTGTCTTTCCATCTAAGGAAGAGAAGGTTAACTTATGTTCTAACATTCAGAAAAATAAGTAAATTCATTTGTGCAAGTTCACTTTTCTATTTCAATAAAAGAAGGCTCACTTCTCAAAGTAACATGTACCAAATATACGTCAAATATGTTCGCAAATGGCATGGAGGCATTTTCCATAAAAGAATGGAAGAACTTCACATTCAAGATGTGAAACAACAGTAAATAATACTTGGCATAACATTGGCTCCAGTTGCAGATCATGGAGGTAAGTAGTTTGATTCCTCTATGGAAAGAGATTATTTTCAAACAAATGCAATGCATATCATAGTCAGGGTCCACCATGGCCATTTTAGAGAAAAAGTTCTAAATCACAGAAACTTCAGAGTCACCTAACTCCTGTGTGTTGATTGCTAAGTACCCTGGCCGTGCAGCAGATGTTATGATTTTCAACAGAAGAATTAATGCAAAACATGGATGACTAAAACAAGAAATGACATCCTTCCAAGGGAAGTTTCCTTGACTGAATGAAGTGATTCAGTTTATGCAGATAATGAATGGCCCATAGTAAGAAATGTCCCCAAATCCACCTGCCCCAAGACCCCACACAACATCTGTTCTAATTGACCTTCTCTAGAACATCCATGTGTGTCCCCCTAGAGCTCTTCTGTTTACTTAGACTCTCTGGGTTTATTTATTGTAGCATGATTATTTGTTGTTTAGCAGCTAGTTTTCACTTGTGTTTGAGAACATGCTATATTTGTCTTTCTGGCTCTGGGTTACCTCACTTAGTATGTTTCAGTCATTTGCCAGTAAATTTTTTGCTGTCATGTTTTTAACAACTGAATAATACTCCTTTGTATAATTATATAACGTTTTCTTTATCGATTCTTCTGTTGAGGGACATCTATGTTGTCTCTATTTTCTGGCTAAAATTAATAAAGATGCAAGGAACTTGGATGAACAACTGTCCTAATGGCAAGTATTGGTCCCAAAGTGATATAGTTGTTTTTTGAGGTAAATCGATTCCCTGTTTACTGATGAACTAACACATTGATTTCCATAGTGACTGCACAAGTTCAGACTCTCACTATTAATGGTTGAATGCTCCCCTTGCTCCAAATTCTTGCCAGTATTAGGTGTTACTGATCTTAGCAATTCCAGTAGATGGACTCTCAGAATAGTTGCAATTCATATTTTACTGATGGCTAAGGATTTTAAAATTTAAGTGTTTCTTGGCCATTTGAGATTCCTCCATTAAGAATTCTCTGTTTAGATCTGTACCTCATTTTAATTGGATCATTTTGTTTGTTGATGTCTAGTTTCCTGGGTTCTCCATTTTTGGATATTAGCCATCTGTCATATATAGTCTTGTGTTGGGATGGATGGAAGGAGACGTACTAGGACGGATTACTGCAATTTGGAAGTATTAGGGGTGATATGGAAACCCAGTAGTGTAGAAACTCTCTGGAATCTACAAAAGTGACCCTAGTAAGTTCTCTTATGGTATGAGTATTGTTTTTCATTTATTGATACAAATTCAAGGTCAATTTTGTGATATGTATATTTCTCCTCTTGATTAAGTATTGTCCTTATACTGATCTTTTAAAACGTAATGCATAATTGAATACAGACTATAGATAGTAACTTTTAATAGTCAGAATTTATAGTTAGATAAGTTAGGTATTCTAGATATATAGACATAATATTTGAGACAGATAGATAGTCTTCAAACCTTTCAAAGACCTTCAGAAAATGGCATTTAAAAATGGTTTAGGGTTTTTCTTGACAATGAGAAATGTCTGCTCCTGGCAGCACCAATTACGTCTGAGAGGAAGATGGGCATCGAAGAAACTTGTTATGGAGTTTGCTTTCAACATGGCAAGATTATCCATTTGGGCAAGAAACTGCTCTTGCCTGTACTGCTTGACTGTTGTTGTATAATCTGGACATGCAGGACCCACAGGAAAGTGACTG